CACTTCGGGAAAACCCTCGAAACAATACGGCGTGGGTTATGTCTCTTTCCAGTACATAAAACACAGTCGACAGCCGAGAGCGCTAGACGTAAAATACTCTGGGCTAAGCTAGTCCGTCTCTCACGCATAACTGGCTATAGCTAGCCTCGTAGGTGATTGAATTGTACTAGAGGCTTAAATTGGTTTGTGTAAATATTAACCAAACTTGTCGTATTATTCCTGCTAGCAGACAAGACACTAAGGAGTCCTATGTGTGTACCGGTCAAGGCGGGGACACATCGTACAAGTAAAGCTCTACTCTCATACTCGTCTATCGTTACCCGAAAGTTGATTTTTGATGCGGTGTCGGAAGACAACTGTAAACATGTCGAGGAATACCCATGACTCGTTAAACACTTCACGAAGGAATACCACTGATCCCGACGTGCTAATCACCTGTATTAGCTGCTGCAGCTAGTATTTTTAAAAGCAGCTGCGCTTAAAATCACAGCTGCGCAGCATATTTTTGGTTAGCTCTCGGCCAATTGCAAATGAAAGTTTTGACGCGTTTTACAAGTAAACATTGACGTTCGTGATGTCCTTCACGATCCCCGTCATTGAGAGGTAACAGACGGTACTGACAAGAATGATTGTGCTTTCTTCTTTCTTTGCTTGTCTACGCCTTTCCTCTCTCTTACTCCCACTACTTCTCGAGTTTTTCGCTCTGGCTCTCAAAGCTTTCTACACCCTCATAGGAAGGTGTCTGTGTCTGTGTCGGTTAGCGTCAGTCGAGCGTTTGACGTCTTTGAACAGTCCCCGGACCGGTAATGGTGTACATACCGAACCGTGCATACTGTGAACCGTTACACCCCTAATGCAACGTGTGTGAAGCAGAAATCCTGCAGCTCAGCTCCGCCCCGCTGTGACGGACCGGTGAGTGGAGCAAAAAACACACTAAGAGTTAGACCTAACACACTTAGCTATTTTATCTACCTCTGGAACAAGCTAAACTAGTTATAAATATATTTATTCTTCACTGTTGGGTCACTCGTCATTACTGGATCAGTGAGCTGCATGAGATACTGACAGGCTGTCAGAAGAGAGAGAGGGAGAGGGAGAGAGAGCGCTTCCGCAAATTTCTCCTGTTATTATCCAAAGTGAATGTAAACTTGAATAATGTACTTCATTTGAATGTAGTAATTTTGGTTGTTGTTGTGGAAGCGCCAGTGAATGAGCCCCATTTACTGAGTTTTAAACATCACTTTAAATGGAAGATTCCCATAGGCCCCACCCACTCGATCGGATCGGTATCGGCCGATACTGATTCCGGCGATCGGCCCCAAAATTGGCGATCGGAGCACCCCTACTTTAAAAGGGAATAAAGGTTCAAGCTGGAAACAAAAGACTGCAGCAACTTCCGCAGGACCCTAAATGTTCACTCAGAAGACAAAATGCATTAATTAATGAGCAAGGAAAATGTATATCTGTCCTGAGAGTGCATCCTCTCTATGGTGGCCACTGGTGACTGAATAAAACGTTCACAAGTCTGCTCTTTAAGGTTATTGCTACAGTCACATTCGCATGCAAACTTTAAGCATGTATGTCAATGTTAATGAAAGGAACATGTTATAGGTTATGTAAATATTCTTGTTAGTTGGAATGAGCACCAATTCACACCAAAGCCACTGATTTTACTGACCACTTAAAAGACATATCAGTCTTATCTGTAATTTGTCAGACTTGGACATCAACACAGACTCTTTTTTTTTTACCTCAAAGCTAACAATATCATGCTACCATCCAGGTCTCACATTTTCTTTGAGCTGAATGCAAATATTATGTGGCTAATGTTTCATAAGTCACAGGTGTCAAACGTTCTGTCAGTAGAAGTTATCCGGCATAAATGTAAATTCAAATCTTCACCAGATGTTTATGGAAAGTTAAACAATCACCCAAATGAATCTGACCAAGGGAGAACACTACAGCATCACCGCATTGTGCTGTAATGCTAAACAGGGCAGTGTAACACCGGAAGAATCCAGTAGTAAAAGGTCTTAATATGACATTATATGCTCATCATGACTCAGTGCTTAGAGTAACGTGTGGTGTAAGGAGTTTTAAAAAGGAACACATTATCATAGCACTAATTGTTTATGGGAACACTTAGCGATCAGATAAAGAACAATAACTTAATGTTATCAATTATTTAATATGCTATGTTCACAGTCTACTACTGTAGGCCTGATCACATGCATCAGATAAGAAGATTCATAAAAAGTTGTATATCTTTGTTGTTGAACAAAGCCTCACATGCAGAAAGTCAAACCAAACTTAGAAGAACATAACACCACTTTACTGATCTCCTTGGGGAAATTCAATTGTTACACTCTGTGCTGTTGTATAGACAGAGTGGCCCAAAAAACACGCATGCAGACAAAAAAGGACAAGCAGTTGAAAAGA